ACAGAAAACAAATCTCGTTTTTCCCAGAGCTGTACAGAGATCAACATGTTCAATAATTAGACAGAAAACATAAAGAAACTCTGCGTTCGTCCCTTTTAAGTGGAAGCAGTTCAGTCCGTCAGGCTTTTATTTTGAAGGAGCTTCAGGACAGACGGTTTGATTTCAGTTCATCTCGCTTTAGTTTATTTCTTCTGTGGAAACTCGGAAAAAGATAAAAATATAAAAGAAGAGTCCAGAAAGGCTCAGAAAGGTCAAAACGATGGAATAAAAGTCAAAATAAATGAAGAGAAGTCAAAAATATGAGACGAGTCAAACGTCTAACAGTCCTTCAGTCCTTATTACAGAACATTGACCCCATTAGAGGAACATTTATCTGTGTTTATTTATCTTCATTTGATTTCTTATGTCAAAATAAACTTTTTATTATATAATTTGGACTTTTTATTTAAATTTTATCTCACACTTCTGACTTTTTATCTCATAATTCTGATCTTTTATGTTAAAATTCTGACTTTTTATCTCCCATTAGTGTCTTAAAATCTCATAATTTAGACTTTTTAATCTCATATTTCTGACTTTTTAACCTGACGTTTTATCTCCTAATTTAGACTTTTATATAATTTAGACATTAGATCTCAAGTTTGATTTTTTATGACATTATTTAAACTTTTTCTCTTGATTTTGACCCGAATGTTTATTTTCTCACATCATAATCTAGATTTAATCTTTTGTTCGTTCTTCTTTTTTAAATTTTCATTGACATATTTTAGATTTCTAACCTTTAATTTTGAACTTTTTCTCATTGTTAGACTCAAATGTTTTGGTTTTCGTGGCATAATTCAGATTAAGTTTCATCATTTTGCTTTTTAATCTCATTATTTAGTTTTATCATGTCTAAGGTTTGACTTTCTGTCTCACAAAGTTGACTCGGCTTGTTTTTCTCTCATAATTTTGACTTTCATTTCATTATTTTGACGTTATTTTTTAACATAAGTCTGACTTTTCATCTCATAATCTTGACTTTCATTTCATCGTTTTGACTCTTTCTGACTGTTTAAATGATGAAACACCAGCTCTTCTTCTTTCTTTCCTCTTGAACAGCCTCCACAGTTTGCTTTTCGCTCGGCGACACAGTTCAGGATCCTCACATCCTCTTGTTTCTAGAGCTTTTTTGCAGCGGAGGCTCACACGGATCCAGTCTGGACCTGAATCCACACAGGAAGCTTCGGATGGATCAGGATGCTGGAGGTCGTTGCCTTTAACGTGAATGAATCTGGTTTGTGGATCAAATCGTCCTGTTAGAGCTGCAGACGTGACTTCTCGTCATTATTTTTGCTCCACCAGCAGCTCCAACCGTCACATCTTCACTTTAATACGATATGAAGCAGAGAAAAGCTGCAGATCTTTGCATCCGAGAGGCTAAAAACTGATTTTCTTTTGCACGACTCAAACACTGCTGACGTTCAGAACCTCCGGCGCCGGCGTCACTGTGAGCCTGACGGGGCTGATTTGGGTGAACTGAGCCTTTAACGGACCTCCAGCACGCTGCCAGACGCCCCGACAGGCTGGAATGTTGTCTAATGAGGGTGTTTAAAGGGTTTCGCTGACAGAAGCTCCTCCACGTGTGGATCCTCGCCGTCGGATTCCAAAACCGGACGTCGAATGTTTAAGACTAAATTACAAAATAAAAGTCCGTGAAGACGAAACGGATCCGTCTGGTTTTGGAACGGCGCTCTTCACGCCTCCGTGGGTTTGTGTGCTTGTTGTTTCCTCCCGGATATTTAAAAAAAAGAAGAAGAAGAAGAAGAAAAGCATCATCTTGATTGGTAGAAACCTGAGTTGCTCGACGTGTGTTTTCTATATTTACAGATCTGCGACCGGGCGGCTCAGACAGAAGGTCAGAGGCTGATCCAGTGATTGTTTGTTTCTATTATTATCTATGGGTAGAATACGACATCCTCTGATATAATGAAGGAAAACACTGAAGAAAGTTAAAGCCTCGATCAGCGACGCGACTTAAAGCTGCACAAGACCTCTGAGAAAGAAGCTCAGCCTGGAAGAGCAAAAAACGGTCTGGACTTTAAACTGATCCACTGAATTCTAGTGACTTCATTAAAGCTGCCACGACAGAAACACAATCAGAAGATAATCTGGTAGGAAATGAACTGAAAAGGTCCATTTTTAAAGCAAAAAAAACTCCCAAAGGTGAATATTTATCATTTTTAGGTTGTTTTGAAGCAAACATTCTCATTGAAGAAGAATATTTACCATTTTCAAGCTGTTTTAAAGCAACTATTCTTGTTGTAAATGTGAACATTTATCATTTTAAAGTTGTTAAAAAGCAAATATTCTTGCTGAATATTTACCATTTTTAAGCTGTTTTCAAGCAAAAATGACAAATGTTTCCTTTATAAATGTGAATATTTGCCATTTTTTTGTTGTTTTAAAGCAACTATTCTCATTGAAAATGTGAATATTTACCATGTTTAAGTTGCTTTTAAGCAAAAATAACAAACATTCTCTTTTAAAATGTGAATATTTACCACGTTTAGGTTCTTTTCAAGCAAAAAAGACAAATGTTCCCTTTATAAATGTACATTTTAAAGCAATTCTGCTCTTTTCAAATGTGAATATTCACCATTCTTAAGTAGTTTTTAAGCAAAAACAATAAATATTCTGTAAAAATGTGAATATCTGCAGGTTTTGTTTGTCTTCTGTTGTATGGAAGTAAATGTTTGACCATTTCTGGTTTCTGATTGAACACAATTTAAGGTTATTTTGTTAAATTAAAGGTTTAAAGCTGTCAGGTTTGTTTTTGTTTTTAGTGGCAAAATTTAACAAAACATCTTCAGTTCCCTCAAAGTCAGACTCTTTAAAGGAGAATATTTTGATATTTCATCATGTTTGTTTCCAGGAGGAGGACTGAGCACCACTGCTTTACATTCTGCTGTCTGTTTTGCAGTTTTAGGTTTTTCCAGGCAGTCGTCCTCCATGTGGCCACCAGGGGGCAGCAGAGGTTCACTTGTGCAGCTTTAACCGACCCTGAGGCAGAGCAGGACTTCCAGACTTCATACTATGACTCATTATTTGTGATTTAAAGCGTGGACCAGGTGATATTTTGCAGTTTTCTGACTGTCAGCGGACAAAAAAAGTCACAAACTCAGTCCCAGCTGAAGCTACGAGCTCAGAGTGGATCCATCCGCCGCTAAAAATAGTCCCAAGATGTTTGAGGAACTTTCTAACTTGAGACTCGGCGACGTGGGTTCGTCGACAGCCAGAAAACAGAAGATGTCCAGACGTTTGCACCTGAAGGATAAAACACTGGAAGTCTGCTCCTGGTTCCTGAACTTCTGCTCTCGGCTTTTTGTTTTGTTTTTCTGAATCTGAAACTCGAGGAGGCTCGTCTCAGACCTTCTGTCCTGTTCTGCAGACGCCGTCGTCTCAGAGGCTACTTGAGGTTTAAATGCAGGACCTACAGCTACACAGAAACCATGGCGACAGGGTGGAGATCCAGGCTCTTTAGATGCATACCTTTTGTTCCTATGATTCCTCCGCAGTCCAGAGGAAATAAATACAGTGCTTTTATTTTCCTGACGCGCGGCCCAGTCCGAGGCGGCGCTGATTGTCCAAAGCAGAAAATAGGGACAAGTGTCCTTTTTTTGCAGCCTCCAGTCCGGCTGAGTGACGCTGAGGCAGCAGCCAATCAGAGGAGCCCGTTGAGGTCAAGGGGGGCGGGGCAGGAAGGAAGCGGCGGTCTCCTATTTGGCGTTAGCGGTTCCCGGGTCCATCAGTAGTCTGTCCGGCCGGACCGAGGCGGGGGGCGGCGGCGGGGGAAGCGAGGGGAGGAAGGAGGTCCGGCTGGAGGTCAGATCGAGGTCAGAGTTGACAGGAGGAGGAAGAGGAGGAGGAGGAGGAGGAGGAGGAGGAAGAGGAGGAGGTCACAGAGCGGTGGAGGTGATCTTCTTCACCCCCCGCCGCTGGGCCAGAGTGGAGCAGCCCACCGGCTCCAGAACCGGAGGGACGTTCCTGTTCAGGGCCGAGTAGGTGGCCGCCATCGCCCCCTGCAGGAGGAGACAGGAAGTGCTCGTTACACCGCTGAGCTACTCACTGGGTTGTAGGAAAAACAACAAACACAGTCGGTAGTAGCTAACTGGAGTCGACTTTTACCACTATTTAATGCTCTGAGGCAGCGTTCAGGTTCAAACTGTTCATATTAGCATAAAAAAAATCTGCCAAATCGTCTGTAAATGTGAGACAAACACATCCTCTACCGGAGGTAAATGATTTAAACATGAGTTCTAATGAAGCACGAGAGCTTAGTGCAGGCAGGACACGGTGAGGAGCTGTACCTTGACCAGGTGAGGCGCGTCCTGTCTGTTCAGGGTGTATTTGGGCAGCTGGTCCCGGTGCGTCACCCAGGGGTGCCGGAGGACCTGGCCGGCCGTCAGACGCTGGTGAGGGTCCACGTGCAGCATCTTAGAGACCAGGTCCTGGAGGTCAGAGGAAACCAAACATGAGTTAAACATGAGTTATCCTCTGAGGCCTCTGAGATGATCAGAGAGTTTCAGAGGAGTTCACAGTTACTGAACTCCAGCAGCTTCTGGCTGTTCCTGTCACATTTTTCAGCATATTCTGAAGTCCAGCACCTCTGTGGAACCAGAACCACCAGGACCAGAAGCAGAGGGAACTCAGACGTGTCTCGTGTTATAATGACATCAATTATTTTTAAAGAAAACAAGAAGAAAGCAGAAATTGTTGGATTATTTTACAAAATAAACATTTTTCCAGGCGCACACCGACGGTAGTGATACTGGGGGAAAAGGGCAGCTCTACAAATTATAGATTCTTAATTATTTACATTTTTAAAATAGTTTCCATAGTTCTCGTTCAGGACTGGTGCTCACAGCCGAGTCCCTGAAGGCATCACAGTTACACCAAGAAGCTCACAATGTGGAGCTGCTTTTGTTTTTTATGATGGTATCTGGTGCAAATGGTTTACTTTATAAAAGAAAGTAAAATATATCCGATAATATTTACATATCATATGAATAAAATATCACGATTCTCCTGACAGAACACGAGTCACAGATGGTTAGTTCAAGGACCGTCAGAAAGTTGAAACCCAGACAAGTCTTTCTGTTTCTACAGTTTCTGGCTCATAAATTGTGTAATTTTGGCATTTTTTTAAAAGATAACCCACATTTTAGGGTTCATGGGGCTAAAAGCATCGAACATTTTAATCAACATCTGCATCAAATCAACACTCTACAGACGTTTCACGTGTTTCCACGACTGCAGCTGCAGCCGCCGACGTGTGATTTACTCGCGGCAGCTGCAGCGTCAGTCTGAGCTACCGTCTGCGGCGTCTTTCCGGGTTCTGCACCTTGGCTTCGGTGGAGACGGAGTTCCAGTATCCTCCGGTGAGCGAGAACTTCCCGCTGCCGATGCGAGCCAGGATCTCCTCCGGCGTGTCCTCCGGCCCGTTGGCGAAAGGAGTGAAGCTGCAGGAAGAGAAGGACAAAGACGAGGTGACGGAAACGTTCAGGTGGAGACGCAGCAACAGTTTGGACACAACGAGAACAAAACTACAAACACGTGTTTTCATATGACTTATATAACTTTACTGCAGCAGCATCGTTGCCAGTAGTTCCTCTTACTTCTTCTATTCTCGTCTTATTTTAGCTTAATTATCTTTATTTTCAAGTATCGCACTTCTATCGATATCTGGCCAAAGAATTCCCTTCAGGACTCCTAAAGTTATTTTATTCTATCTTGAATGAATTTAATGCATTAAACAAATGAGTGTAATAAGTCTTTAATGAACTCTCTGAACCCTGAAACCTGCCAGCAGCTTTAAAATCATTTAAAAAACACCAATATTACACCTTTGATCAGAGCTGGAAACTGTAAGAACAGAAGAAGTCTTTGGGTTTTGGAGCCGATCATGTGTGATTATGCAGCTCAGTTGGAAAAATTAACCAAATATTAGTTTAAAATTGAGATATTTAATCTAAAATTACTTTATTCTGCATGTCTCACTAAAAAAAATCTATTAAAAAATGTAAACAGCTAAATATTTACAGTATATAGAGTATTTGTTCTAGCATTAGCAACACACGTGGACACTGAAAAAATGTTGTACATGCTGATTCCAGTTCATTTTTGTGCAACAAATAAACAACAAAATTCAACTTTTGCTCCTTTTTGTTCTGATTTATGGCATTCTAGTTGAGTTAAATGACACAGGAGACATTTCTGAGCAAAAAAAACACTCAGAAGCTGCCTGAGGTTCAGAGAGTTAACGGTTTTGATGCCTTCAGTTTTCTTCTAGGACATAAAAAACAATGACGAATCCTTGCATAAGTCTGTGTGTGAAAACCTTTAATTGGCAGCACTTTGGCTAAGAAATAAACTTTAAATATTCTAGATTGAGCCACTAGAAGCTAAAAACGTAGCTCCGGATGCAGCAGCGTGTTGAACGCACCCCGTCAGCATGGTGTAGAGCAGAACCCCCAGACTCCAGATGTCACAGGCGGCGTCATAGCCCTGCTTCTTCAACACCTGCCAGGAGGAGAGAAAACACCAGGTTCAGGTAAAAATAAACCTCCGACAGCCGTTCCTCTGCAGCGCGGAGCTGCAACACCTTCCACTAAGTCACGTTCACACCTCTCACGCTCACATTTAAACCTCATATGCTGCCTGAGAGCCGGAGACACGGTTTGTTTCTGCAGGTTTCTGTAAGTTTGGTTGGAGCTTGGCTGCGTGGCGGTGACTCAGACAGCAATAAAGAGACGCTTCAAGCTGTTAGACGGAAACTAACGACAAGAAAAGCACATTTTTGCTCTAAAAATGTTGTGTTTTTTTTAGATTTTGGAGCATCTCTCTGCATGAATCGACATCCTAATTTAACAGAAACTGTCGCTCATGTAGGTTGTCGAGAGGTTTGGGTTTGGTTCAGGGTTAGAGGTCGAGCTGCACGACACCACATCAGTGATTTAGAACCAAAAGCACCTTAACAGCACAGAGTAGCAACAAAATACAGAGTTTAACAGGAAAGCTGCAAAAGACAACAAGCTAGGTGTTAAATTAACGACTTGAAATCTAAAAAACATATATATTTATGAGCTTTAACGTATTATTATGCAAATGCATGCAGAAGGACACACACAAATCTAATTAGAGCAAGTTCCTGAGTTATTGTGTTTACAAGAAAAACCTCCTAATTAAGAGCAAAACCAGATTCTTTACTAAGTTTTCTTTTACTGACATGTCAGTCTCTGTACGTTACGTATACCTACGATGTCCACAAGCTGATTAAATCCCTCAAACTGTGAATAAATCACTGCAGAAGCCAGAACTTTGCTGTTTACAGTGACTTTGGCTGCACTCAGGTTGTTATCTGCAGCGCTCCTGTTTAATTCTGTTGCCGCTCTGAGCTGTTGGTGTTTTGTTCTGACTCACGGATGCAAATGAGCTCACAAACTACGGCGGAGTAATCTGGTGTGGTGCAGCTGTACGCTGTCGCTTTGAAGTAAATAAATAAAACCTCTTGACATCGGCGGCAGTTTTCTGTTGCATCAGGATGTAAATTTATGCAGAAAGGTGCTCAAAAATCTGATCGCGTCATCTGCTCCCAAGTTACTTTCACACAGAGCACCAGACGCCAACATGTCGGTCCACATGTCGTTTTAGGCACCACGTCGGCAGGACGTTAAAAAACAGAACGAGGAGAGAATAAAGAAACAGAAACACACGAAGGAGGAGCTGGAAAGTCTGACCTCGGGGGCGACGAAGTTGGCGGTGTAGCACGGCGTCATGAGCAGCCCGTTCTCCGCTCTCAGCTGCTTGGCGAAGCCGAAGTCGCAGATCCGGATGGACTCGGCGTTCCCGCTCTCGTCCACGTACAGAATGTTGCTGGGCTTCAGGTCTCTGTGGACCACCTGCCAACGGAACAGAAACAGGAAGTCAGAGGGGCTGAACTGGGCCGAGACGGAGCCGACGTGGAATATTTCTGCTCCTGTTTGACCTTCTTAAGAAAAAATCTGAACAGAAAAACTCTTTACTTCCAACATCCTGGATGAACGTACACTGATTTAATTATTATTATTATCATTAATAAAAAACCCTGACATTTAGTGGAATTATCTTTTAATTCTCATCGATACCACACCCTAAATAGCTTAAATCTGCAGAATAAAACACATTATTGCAGCCAAAGCAAAGAGAGCAGCTCTCTGTCTCATTAAATGCTGCATTCTTTGCTAAAACATTTAATGCAATTCGTTAACTTGTGCATTATTAAGACAGTGTTGGTGTCAGAAACCCACCCCTTGCATGTGCAGGTACTCCACCGTCTTGGTGATGGTGTAGAGGACGGCGCTCGCCTCTCGCTCCGAGAAGAACTTCTGTCGGAGGATCTTGTCCAGCAGCTCGCCTCCCTTCATCAGCTCCGTCACCAGGAACACCGACCGGCCGTCATCGTACACCTACGGCACAGAAATAAACCGGCCCACACGTTTAGTCACCGAGTCGCTCTGCGAGTCCGTCCATCCTCTCCGGTTGCTCTCGCTGCTTCTGGACCACGAGTTCAGGGTTTGTTTGCTCGAACCGCGAATCATTAGCAAACTTAACGTAAACTATAAATATGTGAGAATAGACTCCGATGTGTTTTGGTCTCAGATCATTTATAGACAACAAGTAGAGCCTTTAGTTCATTTATGTACTTAATAGGAAGCCAGTGCAGCGACCTAAGACTTGGAGTAATGTGTTCTCTCCTCTCTGTGGTTGTTATTCCAGCAGCAGCACCTTCAACGAGCTGCAAATGTCTGATTAGCAAAGAGCTCATCACAGCAGTCCACTCTGCATGAATCTGCTTTTCTAAATCAGCTGATGTCAGAGTTAGGATTCAGGTATGGCTCATCAGTGATTAAATCCAGATTCTTGACCTGGATGTTCAGTGTCCTGGACTCAAGGTGAGCTCCTGAACATCCGTCCCCCGCCTCTTTGATTTTAAAGGCAGGAGAAAGAAGTCACAGGGAGCAAAATCTGGCAGGTGAAGAGTGATGATTGTGCTACTGTGGCCAAAAAAACAAAGAAGTTCAGGTCATTTTCACCAAATGTTCTCCCTCCAGTGGAGCTCTGCCTCGACAGTCTGACTCTGGAGGATGGACGTATTATGCACAATCCAGGAAACGTCAGAGAAAACAACCAGTGAGCTCCTGATCTCCTTCAACCATAAAAACTGCTGTTTCTTCTCCTGCTGGTAGCTGCAGACCCTCCTCTGGTCACTGAGATGATCATCCAGCTGCTGACTGACACCGAATGGGTTTAAAGCTTCAAAACTCACAACGTCTCACAAGTTTTAATGAAGGCTCGTCAGAGCCGGTGAGATATTTAAAGTCGCCGACGCCGTTTGTTCCGTAATAACAACCTGAAAAGCAATAAAAGAAGCTCTGCGGAGTGACTCACGTCTTTGAGGGTGATGATGTTGGGATGTCGACCGTATCTCAGCAGGATCTCCACCTCCTCCGTCGGGTCCCTCTTGGCCTTGTTGATGATCTGCAAGAGCCACAAACAGCGTTCACAACAAGCAGTCGTTAATACATTACATTAGAGGTGTTTTTTTAACCACTTATTAATGAAAAACTTTCATCTACTGAGCATTAAACAACATATTCTAGTCAGTACTCTGCAGCTGTACATGATAATAATGACTAGTTATATCAGAAAACAGTTCCCTCGGTGTAAATTATGTTCATTCTAGACATTTTTTTTGTTAAATGTTGGACCAAACTGCCTCCAAAGCTTCACACTTGTAGTTTAGCGCAGAGCTTTGACAATCAGCTGATGCACATTTGACCACTTTTTAGGAGAAATTCACGACTTCGCTGCACATTTTATATCAAACGTGTGAAGACGAACGAAAAAATAAGCAATAAATAATAAAAATCAATGAAAAAGCAGCAGAACAAGTCAGAAAAATGTCCATTTACTTCCACTTTCTCCTTCCTCTCTACTACATTTCAGACCATATTTCTGCCCTTTGTACTCCGTCACATTTATTTGCCTTAATTAATAATCTAACAAGCTTTTAAAGTACAGCAGCTACAGATTAAATCAGTGGTTTTCAGCCTTTGTAGCTTCCTTCAGAGAGCAGAGCGTCGTCTGAGTCACACTTATAATTTATTAAACAGCTCCAACAAATAGTCATTTTTCTTTTTGAAATTATTTTTGAGTTCAAAAAATGGTCCAATACGTTTGCAGAAATCCTGCTTGGAGGCCTCAGATTGATCTTTTACTACTATTTCACTGCTGCTGCTGCTACATGATTATATTTAAATTTTCATGCAGCGCTTTACTTGTAATTTTCACTTTGCTTTGTCGGTACTTTTACTGAAGCTTCTCCCACCTCTGCATCTGCCTGATTGGACTCATTCCTCGTAAACAAACCAGAAACGAGCTCTTTCTTCTCGTCCTCGTATAGAAGCAAAGCTTAATTCTGCAGAAAACACATTCGAGGCCTTGAGTTTCTGCCGTGGCGAGCGCACGTGTTGCTGCGACGGCGTTGAAAGGACAAAACGCTTCTTAGCTGCTGTTTGTTTGTCTGCAAAATTAGAAACTTTCCTTCTTTCAAGAGCTGAATGTTCCCTTTGAGCTCCGTGCTGCCGGTTGCAGAAGGTTTCCTTATCGTGGTGATATTCGTCTTGTGCTCGCAACAGACCTTCAATGTGAAAGGTACGTCTAGAAGCACTCTGAGGGCAGGTAATGCTACTGTATGACTCTGACAGATGGTCGAGTGTTAGAAACGAGTTCAAAACAGAAGAAAAAACTCCCGTCAACGAGTAAAAATATGGAAGAAATGTCAAAAACAGCAACAGCAGGGATCCAGCAGACAAAAGTATACATAATAAACAGAATATATAAAGAGGCAAACAAATCAGTCCTAATTCTGAACAAAATTAAAGAAATTATGTTGAATATTCTGGAGAATGTTTGTTTATTTCAGGTTAAATGTTTATCTGTAAATCTGCAAAGCACTAGCTGGCTTATATTAGTACTTAGTCATGATTTAAGTTTAAAATTAGTCACGTTAATCCCCATAATTATTCATTTTAATTATCAATGTTATCTTTATATTCTAATTAGTCAATAGTTTAAAACACTGTAGGGTCTCAGTCTTTATGTGTTATAATAAAATCAGTGTTTTACGTAGGTTTGACATCATTAATAACACCGCCAGGTCTTAACTCCAATATTTAAACTAGTCAGCTGAATTCGTATCACTATTGCCGTCTTAAATTATAAATAAAGGCGACTTTATTTATTCTGACGATCTGACAACAACCCCATAACGTTTAAAGATCTAACGCTGGCAACGTTTTAAGCAAGAGGAACCATTTAAGACCTCTATAAATGGAATTACAGACTTCTTAAAGGACTGTAGGTGCCCTGAATGTACACAAGCTGAAAGCAGTGGAAGTGGCGTCGGACCTTGACTGCGTACTCCATGCCCGTCCCGCTGTGAACGCAGCGTTTGCAGATGGAGTACGATCCAACTCCGATGTCCTCTTTGATCTCGTAGGCATCCGAGAACTGAGACGTGCTTCTGTGAAGTTGCTAGATGTAAAGACACAAATAAAAATATGCATTACTACTAATAATTAATGATAAAAGGCATTAGCAGGTTAAAGGAGCTCTTTACTGACGGATGTTTTCATATTAAACATTTAGTCATTTCCCCACAGAGCCTCAGTGCTATGGATCAGACATAAACGTGTACAGTTTAGTAAAATATCCATGTTTATATCCAGAATCTCTTAAAACAGGAGCTTAAGTGTCTCTGATTCTTTCAGATAAAGTACAAATGGTTTAATTTCACTTATTTACATCCACAGAATGACCCGTAAATTTGAAGTAAAAGGAGTTGTGCAGGTTAAGATTGTGATAAAACTGATAGAAATAGAGCCACATCGTCTGCATATAAGTTGAGCCTATTCTGAAATTTTCCTGATTTAGTTCCAGAAACATCTGGATGTGATCTTTATTATGACTACCAACATCCACTAGGATTTATGGATGTGGTTGACTGCAGATTCGGACGCAGCCTTCTAAAAGAGGAGGTTAAGTTTCTCAGACTTTTTCAGATAAAGTGTAGATGGTTTAATTTCACTCACTGCATATCCACAGAATGAGCTGTATATCTGAAGGTGCATCTACAAACATTCTTCTGATTCTGGTTTATTTCCACAGCAAAGAATTGATTTTTACACATCATCTGTAAGTAATTTGGTACTGTAGCTCAGTGTTATGTAAAATCCACACTTTAATTGAACAAAATGCACAAATTAAGCAATTCTAAGCTTTATCTGTGGCTTATTTCTATTGTTTAGGTTCATCACTGCACTGAGATCTCTGAAACTTTGGCTGTTTTAAGTGAACAACTTCAACTTTTAAGCACTTTATTTTGTTTTGTTTTCTTCAGAACAGTCTCGACCGTCCAGATCTTCCATCATTTGTTATGATAATACTTTCACATTTTTGATAATAGCCTTTATTTTAACAAAAAGCCATCACTGACATTGCTGTTTTGACATGCACCTCACCCTAAAACGCTGGCAGTAGAGGTGTCTTTGTGTAATTGTGGAGGAGAAACTATTATGGAAATGAATGTTTTATGATTTATGTGCATCACCAGGAGAGCCGAACCCTGCAGGCACAGTACCTGTACGATAGCATTAGGTAGTGGTTGTGTTTCCTCCTCCGTTATGGCCACGAAGCTGAATCCTCTGAACAGCTGATGGGCGTTGGCACTCGGAGGGACCCCCGGCGAGTCTGAGGAAACACAGGAGCAGCTGTTAACGCTCGGCGGAAAACAGACTTTAAGCTCGGCGGCGCGTGAAGGGCGCGAGGAGGCAGAGCGGCGGTCGGTACCTCTGGGCGTCTTCGCTGTGAACTCTGGATCGAAATAGAACGTGTCATCAGGTCGTCCTGCAGCCGGCTTGAAGGGAGGCGGGATCTCACGGCGGTACAGTTTCTACAACAAGAAAGGATGTCTCAGTGAACATTATTAGATGCTTAAAACGAAGATAAAGAGTGTTTGGTTGCTTTATTAAAAACTGACATTCCAGTCGATGGTGCTGAAGAAGTGATGCCTCTTGATCTCCTCCACGCCGTCTGGTCCGGCTCCTACAAAATAAAACAAACAGCATCAGCTAGTCTGCAGAATCAGACCTCCTGTCATGAACAACACTTAATGTGACTTAATCTGATGAAACAGAGCTCGGCTTTAGCAAAAGCCAAATTTCTAATTATTTGCCCTTGAAAATGTCGTAAAGTGGTAAAATCTTCATGTGAAGGTGGTATTGGGGGGCTCAGAAAGCTATATATATGGATGGACCCATGTTTCTTATTTAAAATACTGACTTTTGTCAACATTTCATCAACGTTTGAGGCCAGTTTTTCGCTATTTAACGAGCCAAAATGGCGACGTGGGACCACATGAACTGGTGTGCACAGACGTCTATATGTTGTTGTTATATGTGCAGACTTACAAGCTGCTTCCAGGTCGTCTTTATTTTGAGATTTAACAACTTGACGTACAAACTAAAGCTACAAACGCTACAGGAGCGCTGGGAGCAGAGCGTCGCTGCACAAAGAGTTTGATCTGGAAGGCAGCAATTTATGATTTAAATAAAAAGATATTCTGGTAAATGTGCAAATATGTAGTTTTCTTCGTGCTTTTTTACATTTTTTGTGTAAATCTTCTACTTTAACTTCTGTCAGACCCCAAAATTTGACATAAATGAACTGATTTAAACCCTAAACTGGGGTTTCATGACTTTGCGGTTCATTTTTTAATCCCTGTTGTAGTTTATTGGGTACTGTGTGAGTTATTAATGTGCTTTTGAACAACATTCTGTTGCGTGTAGCTCTCCAGGAACATGCTTTACCTAATCTGTTGGCGGGGTTGCGTTTGAAAAGGTTCCTGAGGAGACTCTGAGCTTCCGAACTCAGAAACTGCGGCATTCCCAGCTTGGCCCTGCGACAAGAAAAGAAGAAGAACACACGGAGATGAAGCGAAAGGCAGGAATAAAGCAAAGAGAACAACATATCCGGTGTCCGTATTGAATGTCCAGAGTGAAGCATGTGAAAGGCGAGACGACGACACGTCACAGAGGAAGCACAGTCAGCACTCTGACGGCCGACTCAGCACTTCTCTGCACCGACAGCAACACAGAGACGCAGGAAGCAGGAGGGTTAATACTTCCTGTGATTCTTGTTTTTAATTTCTTCCTCCCCAGCAGGACCACTGATCATAACACACACAGGCTGATGTATGCGCTGCAGCAGCTGTCCTGCTCTGAGGCGCCTGTTTCAGCTCCACTGGCTGGAATTTAGCTTTTAAAAATCACCAGAATCACAGCATTTACCAGCAAGATGCTGTAAAAACAGAAATACTGGTCGAATGTTTAACCACTCATCTGGTAAATGTGGGTTCCATCAGAAAACTGAACTAAATCTGAGCTTCAAATAATAAACATTCAATGAAAACCTCTTTATCCTACATGTCATATTTAAAAAAATATATACTGAATAAAGTTTTTATCTCAAAATTCTGACCTCATCTCAGAGTTTTGTAATTTAGATTTTTTTAATCTGTATTTTTTTATTGGAAAATATTCCCTTTTTAACCTTGTAAAGCAGCTTTATCTCGGAACTTTGACCTTTTATTTTATAATTGAGATATTTTTAAAATCTAGAATTCAGGTTTTTATAATTTAAAAAATGTGACTAAACTAAAATTATCTTTTTCCTCCAGAGTATGACCACCTACGACATTTTTGACTTTTCATCTTGAATTTGATTTTTTTTGTTGTGTATATATATATTTTTTTACTTTTTACACACAAACTTTGAAGTGAAATCTTGTCATTTAGATTTTTTTTATTCTTTATTTCAGGATTTTTCATTTTAAAAATTACATGTTTTAATCATTAAAATCACGTTTATCTCAAAACTTTGACTTTATTTCTCTAAAACATGACTTTATCTCAGAGTTTTGAGTATTTGAATATTTCTCTTATCTGCAATTCAGGTTTTTATAATGAAAATTTTAGACTTTTTACCAAAATAAAATTGTTTTTTTTCCTTCCAGGGTATTATCATATGCTACAAGTTTGACTTGTCAGCTTTAATTTTTTTTTTTTTTAAATCATATACTTTAGTTTACATTTTTTATGCACAAACTTCTAAAGTAAATATTATTATTTTGACTTTTTTTATTCTATAATTTAAGTTTTTTTAGGAAAAATATTGACTTTCAACTAAAATGAAATTACTTTTCCCTCAACATTCGGACCATATCTACGAATTTTGACTTTTCATCTTTACATTTTTTTTTTTTAAATTGTATATTTTGTTTTTATTTTTTTATGCACAAAGTTTGAAGTGAAATTTTGTAATTTAGAATTTTTTCTTTAATTCTATAATTTATGCTTTTTATCAGAAAAATTTACAATTCTTTATTATCATTAAATAACCTCATCCCAGAGTTTTGACGTTCATCTTGTAATTTAGGCTTTGTATTCTGTAATTCAGGCTTTTAATTATGAAAAATTTTTACTTTTAAAATTAAATTAAATTATTTTTTTCCCTCAGCATTATGAGCATATCTTAGAATTTTGACTTTTCATCTTGAAATTTTTATTTTTTTTAATTATATATTCATTTTTTTTCTTCTTACACATAAACTTTGAAGTGAAATCTTGTAATTTGTATGTTTTATTCTGTAATTTAGGCTTTTTTTTAATCAACAAAAACCCAATGAACTGTCTTTATCTCAAAGCTTCTTAACTTCCTCTCTCTGTCGGGCCTCCTCCTGTGTCAGCTCGTATAAACCTCCACCCTGACAGTGCTGCACTTTGTCTCCTCTGATATAAATCCTTCATTTTCCCGGCGCTGACTCGGCCCGTTCTGGCTGTAATTAAAGCTGCCGTGCGGCGGTTGGATTTCGGAGCACACGCAGTGCCGGGCGTCTTACTTGAGGATCATGGTCATCGTCTCTTTCCGGTCTTTGCCTTGAAACGGCAGCGTTCCCGTCAGCATCTCGAACTGGAGGGAGAGAACAGAACACGGTCACGGCTTCGTACCGTCTCCATCTCCAAAGGAAAATGTTATTTATACGACAGGAAGGTGACCCGACGCTGGCGCTGCAGCAGAACCAGAAGGAAACGGAGACTTTTACACTCAGTAGTCCTTGAATGCATTAAATCTGGTGACCTGAGCTGCTGAAGACGTCATCGTGTCATCTTTAAACCCACAGGAGGAAAGTTTGGGTTCTAAACTCTGACACAGACAGAACACATGTACCATCGTAGGTTTGAGGAGCTTCTGACTAAACAGGTTCTAACCAGTTTTGTTCCTCAGGTTTTCATTTATTATTATTATTATTATTATTATAAATATATTATATCATCAATTAATTAATTTAATACATTTATTATATTATTCAGTATTTTTTCTCTATTATTTCTGTTACTTTGTTTTCACTGTCTGAAGCGTAACAGATTTATTTGTTCATTAAATGGTCAAAAATATAAAATAAATTACATATTTCTGTAGTAAATGGACAGTTCATGTCCGTCCTGAGCCAAGAAAACTCCTGATTGTTGGTGTCATTTATATAAAATGACGCATAGGGCGTGCAGAATATACGCATTTCAAAGTACATTTATTTAAAAAATGCATTACAGGCATTTTTAGTCATTTATTGGTCAAAAATTGGCAAATGTTTGGATTTCTGGAGCGATCATGGCCATTCTGAGCCAAGAAAACTCCTGATTGTTGGTGTAATTTATATAAAATGATGCATAAGATGTGCAGAATATTTGCATTTCAAGGTACGGTTTAAATTAAAAAAATTCTTTTTATGCATATCAGACATTTTTGTTCATCAATTGGTCAAAAATAGGCAAATTCTTGGATTTCTGGACTGATCCTGGCCACGAAAATTCCTGATTTTTGGTTTAATTTAAAAAAAAAAAATGCATTAAAGGTGTCGAATATTTCCATTTCAAGGGACATTTATTTTTTTAAAAATGCATTTCAGACATTTTTGGTCATTTATTGGTCAAAAATAGGCAAATTCTTGGATTTCTGGACCGATCGTGGCCATTCTGAGCCAAGAAAACTCCTAATTTTTGGTTTAATTTATACAAAAATTATGAATAAAATTTCCATTTGATGGCACATTTATACGAAAAAATTAAAAGGAAGTGCGGCTCAAGTCCAAAAGCAGATTAAAAGCTTGTGTCTGAGTATTTCTCTCAATGTAAACTCGATTACTAACGGGATTAATGAGGAAAACTGAATATTTTAGAAGCTAATTAGCTGGTTAGCTGTTTGGTAGAAACATGCGAGATGCTGAGCTTGTCCAATGTTTTCAGAGATGTCAGGTTGTTTCGGTGCGTTGGGTTCGGCCCTGCGGCAGCCAGCTCACCATGAGGACGCCGTACGACCACCAGTCGGCGCTCTGGGTGTGTCCTCGCCGGTTCACCACCTCCGGGGCCATGTACTCCACCGTCCCACAGAAGGAGTAGGCCTTGTTCTCGTGGTCTATCGACTCCTTGCTGAGGCCAAAGTCTGAACGAACGACACACATCGGAGGCAAAAACCAAAAAAGTTAACTCTGGAAACAAGTTGGTGAAACGAGCAGCCGGAGCGACAGAAACTAACGAAGCCCATGTTTTAATAAAAGGTGTCAGATTCCTCACCAGTCAGCTTGATGTGTCCCTCCTCGTCCAGAAGGATGCTGAAAGAACACAAACGCTGGTCGGACTCAGGAGGGAACATATTTATAAAAACAAGTTCAGGAGCAACTTTTCTAATCTGGCTTTTGATTTATTTCACTTATTTATTACTGTTCTTGTTCCTTAAACTGATTCTATTGATTAATTTCTCTATTTATTTACATATTTTGTCCGTCGTTTGTTACTTTCTGACTATATGTTTTATCACTTCCTGTTTTATTTTTGTCTTATCTTTTTCTTGTATTCGTAATTGAATCCTTCATTTATAGATTGTTAGCGGGAGGCTCTGTCTGCATTGTTTTTATTGCATTTTAGTCATTTTATGTGTAAAAAACAACCCAGAAAACTTTGTGTTATAATTAATTTGTATGGAAAGTGATGTATAAAAGTCTGCCTGATTGATTGTGTGTATGACTCATGTTGTGAGGACATAAATCAGTTTTATAGATAACAGACAATGTTTCCTTCCATGTTCAGGTAAACTGATGACATGAAGCCATGGTGAGGAGCGTGTTCGTACTTCTCGGGCTTGAGGTCTCTGTAAATGATGCCGAGGCCGTGGAGGTGGTCGAGGGCCAGGGCGAGCTCGGCCAGGTAGAACTTCACGTCCTCCTCTGTGAACATCACCTGCAGCACAGAGGTCGGTTCATACGGCCATAAGTTAACGTTCAACAGGATTTAACACGTCCAGCGTCACTGCTTTGAGGTCTGACAACAAAGGTGGCGCCAGTAAATGAGGAGTCTGTTTGAATCTTTTAGATACGTGTCTCATTTTTTAAAAAAACAAAAAACTGCACTCTCAAACCAAATTCTGCAAATAAATAACAATTTTGCACTTATTAGCACAACCGTGAAGCCATCAGCCACTCGTCTGTGACCAACAGTAAGCTGAATAAAATTCTGGGAGTTTTCGGCTGAGCTGCAGGCTGTGTAGGAGAAAAGTACGACAACAAAATAAAATGTAAGCAGTCAAATATCTATAGTATGCAGAGGAACCATCGTTCAGTGCTGCACATGTTGATTCCAAATTTTTTCAAGTTTTGCAAAATAAACAATCAAAAAAATAAAATCTACAAAGAAGCTGAGAAAACCCTCATTTAAGGCTCATTTTACTGTGTGTTCAAAACATGTCATCCAACATTTACTAAACATGACACAGCCTTTTGTTGGACGTCCCACAGAAAACAACTAATAACAAATAATTTTAGATTAAATCCTCACTGTTGTTCCAGAAGTCCAAATCTGATGTTCTCACTCAGCCAAAGCAGGTAAGAAAAATGTTGAATTTAACGTTTGTTTTGGTGTCTATTCTGCATAATTCATCCAAAACTCACCAAATTTGGTGGAGACATCTCTGTGAGGGTCCTCCACAAATCGGCTGCTTTTGTTTGAAAATAGCTTTTACGATTTTTCTACATTTGGTTACGAAAGTGGAGCAGCTTTTACACCTGCCTGCTCACGTCATGCTGGTTAGCCGAATGTGGCTAACCTTCACTTTCTAGTTAAATAATAATCATCAAAAATCTATTTTTTTCCTTTTTATATATGATTTATGGCATCATGACTGTGTGAAGTTGGATATTTGTGAGTTCTGAGAGGCGCAGGAGTTTACATTTAGAGTTTACATCACAGTGAAAAATGAGCCCACAGTGACTAAAACTGTGAAGGTTAAAGTGGGACGCCTCACTTCAGCGACCAGACGAGCTGCTCCATTAGACAGAATGAACTCCTGAGTGGTTCCTTTATTCTGCTGCATGTATCGTTTTAGTCTCTGCGTATAAACTCATATCAGATGGTGAGCGGCTGTTACCTCCTTGGAGAGCCGAGTGAAGAGATCTCCTCCTCGGAGGAAGTCCAGGATCAGGTAGAGCTTCCCCTCCGTCTGAAACGCTGCAGGGAAGAAAAGCGACGTGAGACAAGATCTAGAAAAGTTTCCTCCGCGAGGACGAGCGGTAACAGGCTGCGATTGGCTGGCAGCGGAGGGCTGCGATTGGCCGGCTCACCGTAGTGCAGCTTGACGATGAAGGGATGGTTGACCTCCACCAGGATGTCTCTCTCCATCTTCGTCCTGACCCGGTCACGTACTGCCAACGCAAGAAAACACGTGAATCACCAGATAGAAAAGTGAAAAGACAAAAATACAGCAGCCTTCCTGATTCAGGTTTCCTCGTTTGGCTGCGGAGACGTCCAGATGGCAGAAGATGAGTAACCGAATCACAGGGGGGAGAGCAAGAAAGTACAGGAAGAAAGCAAGAAACAGGGAAGTTAAGAAGGAAAAAGCTACGCAAACGAACGGGAACAGAGAAAGGAAGATTCAACATGAAGGATCAGGTGGTATTTTTTTTATGTCGAGTTCATTTCAGGACTTTATTTCTTCTTTCCTCTCTCTCAACACCTTTCCAGCTCTTTGTCAAATCATGACGAAGACACACAAAGTAAAAAAAACAGACACAAAATGAGCAGACAAAGACAAACATACAAAAAATGACACTAAGCGACCAAAAAGAGACACAAAATGACACAAAACAACCCCAAAGCGACACAAAATTACGGGAAAAAGACACAAATTGAAAATAAAATCAAAAACAACCACAAAGAGACATAAAATGACCAGAAAAATACCAAAAAATTACACTAAATGACCAAAAAGAGCCACAACATGACACAAAACAACCGCAAAGAGACAAAAAATGATCAGAAAAGGATAGAAAAATGCTAAAAACTTACACTGAACAAACAAAAAGAGCCACAAAATGACACTAAACAACCACCATGAGGTACAAAATGACCAGGGATAGACAGAAAACATGACAAAAAATAAGATAAAATGACCAAAAAGAGTCACAAAATGACACAAAGCAAACGCAAAGAGACAAAAAATGACTAGAAAAAGACAGAAAAATGTCCAAAAGTTACACTAAATGACCACAAAAAGCCACAAAAAATGACAATATTCAAAACACAACCACAAAGAAACACAAAATCACTAGAAAAAGACAAACAAATACAATAAAATTCCACCAAATGACCATGAAGAGGCACAAAATGACACAAAACCCTGTTTTACTTGATCTGTCTCACTTTATAAACGGCTGTTTTGTTATTTATTAGTGCTGTTAAAGGGAAGCAGCAGCTACAGACAGTCAACCGGTTTTATTAAAATCTCATGATTGTGTTTAACCGACGAGCGTTTCCTGTCCAGTTGGCTGATGGTGGACATCTCTACATGGTTGTGGTGGGTTTTAACAGGATTTGTTGAGATTAAACATGAGCAGGTTTGTACCTTTCAGGGTGGCCTTCTTCAGGACCTTCATGGCGTACAGCTGCCCAGCGTCCGGTCCAGTGATCTTCCTCACCAGGAACACCTGAACAGTAACACACAGTTCATCAGAGTGTGTGTCTGGAGGTGGACGATTGTGTGATTCTGTGTGTTTGTTTGGGTCGGACTCGTTTTCCGGGTCACACTTATGCAGATTAAACACACGCATTGTTCGCTCATAAAGGCGTCGACGCCGAGCGCGAGCGTCAAGGGCCCTCGGCTCGCCGTCGCCCTGGCAACGGGCCCCTCCAACACAGCGGAGATGAAACTCACACTTTAACTCGACAGCTAAAGGTTCAGCGACGCACACACACACCTTGCCGAAGGAGCCTTGTCCCAGGACTTTCCTCAGCTCGAACTGCCGCGGGTCGGCCTTCTCCGATCCCTCCTTCACGTGGTGGGTGATGCTGATCTCCTTGATGGGCACGTCATCCTGCAAGGAAGCACACAGAGACGACGTTAAACTGAAATCCGTCTGCAGCAGATGATGTTTGAGCACTTTATTTGTTCACTTCTTGGTCTCTGAGATTCAAAAAGCGGTCGTGTTACATGTTCATTTGACTTTTCTCTGTTTTATGTGACAGTAAACTCGACATATCAGAGATTTAAACTCACATAAGTGATGAAATAATCAAGAAAATAATAAAAACATCAACGATTATCAAAGACGGAGCTGCTCAGTTGTGGCCAAGTGCAAACTCCAAGTCACAGGAGCTGCTAAAAGTAAAATACGTCAGAATATAAACTCATAAATGAAGCACAAAACGGTACAACAAGGTTCTCCAGATGTGAGGGAGCGAAGAGACTGCAGCACAAACCTCACAGAAGTTAGCATTTGTGCTAAAATCACGACCCAGTTGCAGCATCTGTCACGATCATCGCAATATTCAGCCTTTAAACGTTCATCAGAACCAGAAATTAGAACGAAATCGTCGCATTTTCAGCTTCAGTGAGGCGTCGCTCCTTCTGAAAACTGAACCGGATCTCAGCTGTAAATTAGAATCAAAACCAAACTTCCTATTTCACGCCTCATTTAAAGTCCGACACAAATAAACAGCTTGAACCAGTAAAAAAATACAAATCGTGCACCGCTCAGAGCAACTGACGAGTCGTTGTTTATGTCCAACAGTCATGTGACCTGTTGTTTTGTTTTTAGGTTGAACTGCAGGCGGTGTTTCCACAGAGACACCGAGAGGAAAATAAAACCTCCACAATCGATAAACGTGGCTCAGAACCAGCTGGTGAAACATCTGTGGAGAGTTGAGATGCAAAGAGACACGAAAAACGACGTAAATAGTAAATGACCTAAAGCAAGTGGAGCCCAGTTTTGTTAACTTTTTTCTACGATTTCTGACTTTCAAACGGTGTCGTCCTGCACAAACAATCACCGCCCAGGGAGTTTGTTTGAAGTGAAAACTGAGCCCAGAGTGAGGAAACGTTTGGGGTTAATTGTGGCTTAATAATAAAACTATTTTCCAGCACAAATGAGGCTCCGTCTTTATCAGATTTATCTTGAACTGTACGCTGTCGCATTAAGATTCAAGTCCAGGAATTTTGCTTAAAGTTGCTTAAAACAAAAACCACCAAAAGTAAATGAATTCTGGTGCTTGTGTGCGTCTGGCAGCAGAAAACATCGTAAAAGCCTCTCAGCTGATAAAGCCTCCATTAGGACGAGCGTCTCATCAGAGCTCTCTCAGCAGATCGATCCCTGAACCCAGCCTCCATGGACCATGATGCACTGCGGCCGCGGCGGCAGCAGGGCGCGGCCTCGGGAAGTTTCAGACGTGCTTCCTGGCTTTCCGCGGCATTCTGGGAAACGCGGTGCAGGACAGCCACGGCAGCATCCGTCAGCTCCGTCTGGGCTTGTTCTTCCCCTCCTCGCCGTCTTCGCGCTGAATCACTCGACAGGTTGATTCCCAAACGGTCGTCACCGGCGCAGCGGGAAGTTACAACGCGCGCTCGGTTGTCATGGCGCCGCTACCTGCTTCCATCTGGCCGGCTGACGAACGTTCTCACGCTGAGCGCACAAGCTGCCTCCCAGTCCTCCTGCAGGAGCTCAGGTTGGTGGCAAGCAGGTAAACAAGCCCACGCTGCATCCCCCGCCATCTGCCTTCCCATCATCCTCTCTGCCCCCTCTCCCCCCCTCCATCCTACCTGCAGTTCCCAGGTGGGTGACCTGTTGGCCGCCGGTGCATTGTGGGTCCTGTAGTCGCGGCTGAGGCGGCCGAGGCTCTGCGGCGCCAACATGCTCCTGAGCGTGGACTGCGAGGCGGCGGGATGCAGCCGGCTTCTCTTCCCTCCTGGCTCCCTCGCTCTCTCTCTCTCCCTCTCTGAGTCTACCTCTCTCGCCCTCAGAGACATCTCTCTCTCTCTCTCTCTCCCTCTCTGAGTCTACCTCTCTCGCCCTCAGAGACATCCTCACCCTCCTCCCTCCTGACTTCTCTATCTGTGTTTGAACCGTTCTCACCTCTCCTCTCACAGGAGGAGGCACCGGAGCAGACGTGCAGCGGTGCACAAAGTAATCAGAGTACAAGTTACTGCTGGCTGTCATGCACTCAAACGCCGAGTCACCGAGTTGTTTGTAGAAAACCTGCGTGGCAATAAAACCTTTATTATAAAAACACGGCTCACCGTCTGAGCTCCACGACGGGACTGAAAGGTTTGTTGTTGTTTAAGAAAATGACACCTTTAGAGCCACAAACAGCTTTTCAACAAAACAAACCAACTCTAAGTAGTTTTATTCTACATGTCTTGTTTTTTAAAAAATTGCCAAAAAATCATAATTCTCAGTGACCAGGTTTTGTGATAAACAAAAAATTCTCTGTTCCTCGGCACAACTGAGAAGCCTTTAGCGACTCAGCAGCGACCAACAGTCACATGACAAAAATTCATAAAGTTTTCGAGTGAACTGCAGGCAGTGTTCCCACAGAGCAGACAGCAGGCGACAAGACAGACCAAAACAAAACCGAATGGATCCATAGATAAATGCAGCACGGATCAGAACCACAGAACAGAGGAGACAGATGTTAGAGATACATCCAGCATGGTGGAACATCTTTCTACTGATGATGGTGGAACATCTTTCTAGAATCTAGAAAGTTGTTTGTTGTAGTTATCATTATTTTTATGAAACCAAATCAAAGAAATTAAACTTTATTGTTTGTAGAGGTTGTAAATGTAAGTAGGAAATGATCGTCCAGCACGTGGAGCTCTGGAATAAAACAGTTGATTCTAGTTTTTTTTCCCCAAATTTTTGAAATTAATAAATAATAAAATCAACTGTTGCTTTTTTCTTTGTTTTTATGATTGATGTGATCTTTTTTTTCTGTGAGCAAAATAAAACAGTCAGAAGAGCTTACACTGTAAAAAATAAAATAAAATAAAATAAAAAAAAAACAACAAAAAAACAGAAATGGTGAAAATGTGGCTGCAAGGACACCAGACGAAAAATGTTTAAAAAAACAAACAAAACGGACTGTAAAAATTGCTTTAAAATAAATAAATAAATAAATAATTTAAAAAGTAAAAAACAAAAGCAAATATCCACAAAATTCTATATATATTTTTTGCTGATTTCTGTGATCCAAAAAAAAAAAATTCCAAAAATAAAATAAATAATAAATAAATAAATTTACACTTTAGAAAAATCCTTAAAAAATGAAGGTGTTAGAAAAAAATATGTAAAAAATGGACTGTAAAAACTGAGACAAAAAATAAAAAAGATAATTTCTTTTGCTGATTTAAGTAAAGTTTGAGGTTTTTTTTTCTTTTTTTTTAATTTAACCATTAAGTTGGAAATTAATACTTTTTGTCTGTGTTTTTTTTCTGTGATCAAAAACCTGTAAAATAAAATAAATAAAAAATAAATAAACGTACACTGTAAAAAATCCTTTAAAAAAATGACAGTGTTGGAAAAAAAATACACTAAAAAAACTGAAATATTTTAATGTTTACAGACTAAAAATTGTGAACTTAGCATCAAGCAATGATGTTGTTGCTTATTTAAATAAAAAACAGGACATTTCTCCTCCCAGTCATGGCTGTGCTCTTCATGGAGGTCTTTATATTTGTATTTATGATTATTTTGCGGTGAGAACTGAGCCCACAGCGGGTGAAAACTACTCGGGGGGTTCAGTGCATTAATGGTTTTGCACCGAGGTGTTGCTGCTTCGTACAGAAAAGACTCTGAATGAGTCACTTTGAACACGACGCAGGACAAAAGCGAATCGAGACCAGAATATGAGCTCGCTGCTACAGAAATGTCATCCAGCGACAAACATGCAAACAAACATGTAATTAGCGCTGCATGTCATTAAGCCTGAATCATCCCGACGCCGCATGTCGATGAGTTTTCCCGCCCTGGCGGCGCGTCGACCATCAGACGAACCGACGGAGAGGCGCTTTCGGGGAGGCCGGCGAGTTTGAGACTGTTGACATTTACGCAAATATCAGTGTGTGTTTGTGAGTCAGAGCCCAGATGGATCAGAGCGGCGGCGGCGGCGACAGGATGCTCATGTAGCACCTCCTAATCACAGGATTAGAGCCGCAAACGCTGCACCTGTGCTCCGAGCGCACGCACACACACACACACACACACACACACACACACACACACACACGTGCAGGAAACACACAAAGACGACACACACCTGCATGCACGCGGGCCACACACACGTCTCAGAGCGGTGATCCTCCCTGGACACACACACAGAAAACACAAGCTGCTGCTTATTAAAGCTGAGGAAGAAGTTCTGGATGCAGCCAGAACATAAAACCTGCTGCTTCACTGTGAGCTCAGCAAACACAGAAACCAAGCAGCACATCGTCACTTTAAGGTCCTTCTGGCCATTTAGCAGCTTCTGATCCCATCACATGGACTTCATCACCGCGGCAACCTTCTCTGAAATCAAGGATGAAACTGGAAGCTTCGTTTTTCTTTTGTTTTTAACCCTGTGAGGCTCTTCTCTGGGTTTTTATAAAGACTTAACACATGTTGGGTCTGGTTTTCTCCAGAAGAGTTCACGTTTTCCATCATTTAATGCGACACTTGGAGGATTTTTCCTTACATCTGCTCTTAAATCAAGAAAAAAACACTTTTTTTACATGTATGTCATCATGAAAAAGTTCATATCTGTCTATGCAATGAAAAAAGATAAAGAATGTTTTGTGCAGTTTAATTCGCTTTAGACAACACCTGACTGTTATTGAGCGATTCAATAGAGAGGAAGGGGCGTGCATGTGGACGAAAAAATGCAAATTTTAACTTTTGCAAAGCTTTTGACTGACAAAAAGGGACAAATATCGGCTTATTTCATCTCAAATCATCTCATTTCTGCACAACCACCACTAACATGCCTGAAATTCATACGCATAAATCATGAAATATGGATATTTATACAGATTTTTTAATTTAAATGCCAGCTGACCAACTTT